TCGTGAGTTCGATCCCCGGTACCAATAAAAAGGAAAAAGACCAAAAAAAAAAAAAAAAAAAAGAATACAAAGCACAGTCCATAAATGTAAGAATAGAAAGCACAGTTCATAAATACAATTAAATTCCAAAATAAATCAGGAAATAAAAGCACTGGAAATGTAATGATAGTTGTGTAAAAAGTAGCATAAATGGTAGCAAATCCACAGTTCTGAGAATCTGGATGAGAGTCCTTTGCGCGACGTCAGCCATTCACCTTTTATAGATTTTACACAGTGACTTCTGTCATCTCAGCGTGTGGTAGTTGACAAGGAGTGGAAGCAGCATTAAGGTCAAGACTAAGATGTGGAGAATCGAATCCAGCACAGGTAGAACTGAGGAAAATACAAGAGGAAGAGACAAGTTGCTTTTCTCTGGGCAGAACTCTGATTCAGTTCTGAGATAACGTCAAGAAATAAAATGGCTCAAATTTTCAGGATTGATGAGGTGGAGAAAGCTTGTGTGACAAGGAAACCAGGGATACTCATAAAAACAAAGCGGTAGGCAGTTTCCTTTTGCAAACCTCCCTCCTTTGCTTTGTTCCTTCTGAGTTTTAGTCTCCTTTCTCTTACATGGGGCTAGGAAGTGACTAAAAAGAAGAAAGAGGGGAAAGGGAGATGGGCTCCAAAACTCTGGAGGCTTGACTGATGCTGAGTTCTCACTATACTCTCAGAGCTAGAAAAGGCCTCCCTTCTGATTTCAAATAACAAATTTAGAAAAATATCTGTGCAAGAAAAAGAAGATATCAGTTCCTATTGTAAGTTTCTTTACCTCTTCTGGCTTTAGTCCTTAAAACAGAGTTTGTCACATCTAATATAGTCAGTGAAGAATTCCACTAAGGATGAAAAATAACCTCCATGTCCTAGATAAATGTCTTTTCCTGTTAATATCTCTTTCTTCTTTGTTTTTGTCTTTCTTCAGTCCTTGCTTTTCATAATTCATCATTTTTTAGATAGCCTCCATGACTAGGTGACCGTGTGGATCATTTCCAGTGATCCTCATAAACACTCACATTCCTTCTAGAAAGTTCTCTTTCAATCAATCCCTATTCCAAGGAGTAAACATTAAATTGCTAGAGGTCTTAGAGAAACTGTTAAAGCCAATTTGGGGGCAGGGTGGATTCCTCTGCTCAGTCTGAACTAGAAATGGTTGTTCTAATTCTTGGACAAGGGAGGCCCTAGTTCACATCACTGTCATGAAATAATTTTAAGTTTTTCTTCAGAGTTTTGAATTGACAGCAAGAAGTCTTCCATATCTTCTCTCTGCCATGGTCACTGTGAGACTGATGAGTCTGAACCCCTCAGAGAGGAGAGAGATGGCAGAGTCCCAAAGGCATCCGCTCCAGTAGACATCAGGGTCCCTCAGGCCATTCCAAGCCAAGCCTAGCACTGTTCTCTAATGATCCTCTGTCCCACACCTGCAGGAGCCCAGCTGAACCTCTCCCTCCACAGCCCGCTTGCTCTCTTTGTAAAAGGAGACCAGATCATACTCGCAAATCCCTGTCCTGAAACAGTGAGCCTTAATATTGGATTGTAGTCCACAGCAGCTGTGACAATGTTGCCTTTGGGTATGACTTAATCATCCAGGTCATAAACCTAGGAATCCAGTGACACTGTGATTGTAGTCTAGTCTGTGGGGTTCTTCATGGCTGAAAATCAGACACAGGCAGATATGACCTGTATCTCCACCAGCTTTTGACTAAGACACTGAGGTGTCACTTGGAATCTGTCTCCTTCCCATCCATAAGCAAGTAAGGCCCACATGTTAGGAGATATCACATATTAGTTTGATTTTCTCTAATTTTTCTTCTCATAGGGTGTGTGTGTGTGCACACACACTCACATGCACCCGTGCACATGAGAGTGTGTTCATACACACACACTGAGCTAGACATTAAACGTTGGGCCTCACGCATACTAAGCCTATGCTCTGCCACGGAGCTACATTTTCAAAAGCCCAGTTTGCCTTCCAAATTACTCAAAAAGTCACAAAACTTATATGAGAAAATATACTGTTGCAAAAAAATAAGAAATATGGGGGGAAAGGAGAGAAAAAAACAAATTAGAAAAACTAAAACAAGAAAAACAGAGGACCAAGAAGAACAAGGAGAAGCTTCAGGAGCCTCTGTCCTCGCTGTGACTCTGATGAAGGGGAGGGAGACTCGCAGGTAAGGACCAAGCAGGCAGGGCTGCTTTAGCCCACAGTGCTGCCCCAAACACTACAACCCAGAGCAGAGCGCTGGGCACACAAAGGTAAAGTCAGGATGGCTCCTAGGACAGCAAGGACACTAAAAACAACTCAGGATGTCAGAGAGGCCGTGTGCGAAGGGGTCATCTCTACACTCCAGGGTGAGGTGAATCCCTTCTCTCTTTCTCTCTCTCTCTCTCTCTCTCTCTCTCTCTCTCTCTCTCTCTCTCTCTCTCTCTGTCTCTCTCTCTCTCTCTCTCTCTCCTGCCCTGGCACCCAGACGCAGTATGAGGCCTTCACAGGGGCCTGAGCACAGTGAGCACGTGAGGGCTGGGGACTTCTTCAGAAAGGAACAGAGCTAGGTAATGAGGAAAATGCCTCCTCTTGAAATGAATACTGTGTTATTGCTAAAAGAGCTACAGTATGTTGAATACTTATCATAGGAGATATTAAAAACTTGGTCAGGGATAAAGCTGATGGTGTTAAAGCAAATGAAAGATTTCTTGAAATTGAGAGTTAAAAGGAAATGTGAATGAGATTGAACACAAAATAAAATGTCTGGTGTAAATGCACAATGAGAAATTCTCACTGAATGCAGAGAAAAAGCCAGAAGAGATCAAGATAGGAAAACAGGACAGCCAGGCCTCTACCAGCAGCCTTGGCAGGTCATGTCTGTAAATTACAGAATTTGGGAGGTTGAGGCAAGAGGATTGCTGTGAGTTTGAGGCCAGTCTGACTACATAGCAAGACTCTGTCTCAAAAAAAGAAAAGAAAACAGGAGAAAAAGAGAGAGCTGGTCTAAAAGAAATAGTGTACATGTAATATGAATACCTGAAACCAAAGACTAACTTTTAAAGGTTGAAGTTGATGTAATAATTTTTTGTACCAGGGATCAAACTCAACTGCACACTTACAAGGCAGGCACTTATGCCACTGAGCTAAATCCCCACCCCTGAAGTAATAATTAACTAATTGAAGAAAACTTTTCAGATCTGAAGACATACAAATACCTAAAATACACATTTAAAAATGTGTAACATCACTGGCCATTAGAGACAAGCAAACTAAACAATACCGAGATAACCAGGAGTCCAGTTTCTTGATTCCACTCCTTCAGGAAGAAATTCAAACACATTTGGAAGGTGCCTGCCACCCATGGAAGCATCCCAGGACCCAGGACCCACTGACTCTTTCTTTAGGTCCATCCAGTCCTTTGAACTCACACACATATTGCCTTATTTCAACTCAAAAGCAAATCTATCTAGTCCACATAGTCCTCCTTGCAGAAAAGACATAATAGAGGAAACATGACTTTCTATAAGTTGCTTAGTACTTAAGGTGCTAAGCCAGGTTTTGGACAGGGAAAGTTGGAATTCAGAGCATGGAAGAGTATTTTAATATTTCTTAACTCTACAGATATCAAAGTTATTTCTTGGAAAAATAGGCCGCCTTCTGTAAGAAAACTCTGCTGCAAAGAAACATTCCTTGGGTTTGTCCCAACAATGATTCGGGGTTTGGTTTATCTTTAGTCCCTCTACCTAGGTCTGCACTGTAGAACCAGTAGTCATGCTGGATAAGAACTGCCCACGTTTCCCCACAGCATCCCCATATAGAGGAGTGGCCTCGTGGGAGTGGAAAGGGCTCACACTGGATAGGCTCACTCTAGAGGCCTCCTTGTTCGCCCTGTCCTTGTGGGGCTTCTCTCCTCCACAATCACCTTATTTGCCTTTTGCTAATCCCCTGAAAAAATGGTGAAAAGGGAAGACAAAGAGATCACAGGAGTCTGAAGTGCCATGCAAGGCTTGGGTGCCTGTGCTGTAGTGATTTTCTTCACAGCCCCCTGGGCATCAGCTGACAGATGAGGTTCACATGGGAAAGAGAGTCCTACAGGCAGATTTCCTCTCTCCCCAGCAAACCTGAGGCGGTAGCTTGGACCATGGACTTGTTTTCATCTGAATGAATCCTCCCACTTTTCTCAACCCTTTGCATCTATGTAAAGTGCATAGCCCAGGGACTGAGTGATTGCAGAAACTGACCTCCCAATCTGAAGACCCAGGTCAGTGGCCCAAGCTCTGGTCTCAGGAGCTGCCACTGCTTGAGGGCTGGGGAAGAGGCAACTAAAGTGGGTGGTACAGTGAAAAAGCTTGTGCTCTCACTAGAACCAAAAAAAGCCTAGGCCATATGAACATCAGTTGGGGCAGAGGAGTGCCAGGGTGAGCAAGAACAGGCAGGTACAAAAAATTCACGGGCCTGGAGAAGGAAGTGTCACAGAGCTGGGGGAAGTGAGCAGTGCTCTTTGGATACAGCAGAACCCTTTATGATGTCAGTGTCAGACATGGCCCTGAGTTTCTCTTGTGCTCTAAGACAGCAGGCTGTCTCCCATCATCCTGGATGTCATGGCAAAAACTCAGTGATAAAATTTGTCTCATGGTTTGTTCAAAATGATCTTCTGATTAGTTCTTTGAACTCAGGGGAAAGTTTTATTTTTAAAGTGTTTTATTTTTAAAGTGTATTTTGGATGAAAGAGTGTTCATATGAAGCACTGACAAGATTTTAGCAGAGATTGTAGGTCATCAGCTAGAGGGACAATGGTTTCTCTCTAACTAGTGGGAAGGAAATGCACTCAGAGCAGGTTCTTTGTGTCTCATGGCTTGGGAAATCTCACAGGGAAAGGGGAACTGTATGCCAGGAGGCAGCAGGCGGGAGCTGGAGTGTAATATCTGAAAGCATGCTCTTCCCTCTCTTTCCTTTCCTCATTTCTACTCTTCCAGGACAGTGAGGTCACCACGATGTCTCTTGTCCTGTTCCCACTGCTTGTCCTGGTGCTCCTGGGGCTGAAGTGGCTCCAGCTTACTCAGGACAAAGAATCCTCAGCCATGAGGTTCCAGCGGCAGCACATGGACTCAGACAGTACCCACATCAGCAACCCCAGCTACTGCAATGAAATGATGCAGTACCGGAACATGACACGGGGCCGCTGCAAGCCAGTCAACACCTTCGTGCACGAGCCCCTGGCAGATGTGCAGGCTGTCTGCTTCCAGAAAAATGTCCTCTGCAAGAATGGGCAGAGCAACTGCTACCAGAGCTACTCCAGCATGCACATCACAGACTGTCGCCTGACGAGCAGCTCCAAGTTCCCCGACTGCTCATACCGCATGAGCCAGGCGCAGAAGAGCATCATCGTGGCCTGTGAGGGGAACCCGTATGTGCCAGTCCACTTTGACACTTCAGTGGAGCCCTCCACCTAAGCCAGAGCAGCGAGACCCGTCTCACCCCTTCTCATTATTTCTGTATCTGCCTTTCCCTTGTTTCCTTGCCCAAAGGAAGTAAGTGTGGTTAGGGCTCCTGTCCAACACACACAAGCTTCCCTCTCCTGTGTCCTGCTCCTGCATGGCTTTGGGGCTGAGGAGTGGGTGGTGAGGTGGGCCCTGTATCAACTCCTTCACTGCTTCTTTCAATAAAACACAGTTGCAGTCACTGGTTCCTAGAGCATCCTACCAGGAGCAGTTGCTTTCCAGCAAGGAGGAAGACACACAGATCGGATTCATTTTGGTGAACAACAGAAAGAGAAATCAAATGTCCCTCTCTCTTCACTTGTGGATTTCAGTATCATCAGAAAATCCCCTTTCTTCCTGATTCCTTGTTGTCAAGCACGAAACTTTTAGGTGAGAGCTGTTTCAGATAAAAGGTAGCCACGAAGGAGAGCATGGCTGTGTGGGTAAATCGACAAAGGTAAAGCTCAAACACCAAAATTCTATGACACAGAAGAGGACGAGCACAGCCACAGGAAAGCCCTGCATGTACTCGGAGTGGCCATGAGGAGTCTGTGAGATCCTGACCTTAAATTTCCTCCTTCTTGTTGTTGTTGTTTTTGAGCGAGCTCTGTCTACATCAGAAAAATGCTTGTCACTGGGCAAGTGAGGACCTTAGTCCACAGAGCAGGAAGACACCTGAGGTCATGGTACTGGGGGACAACAGTAGATTTCAGCTTGTGCCCAACATTATTGGAAGCGCCTGCTAGACTGCTGTAGAAAAAAATCTATGAACACAGCCTCTAACTGAACTGCATATGACACACGTTTGCCAGCCCACAGCTAACATAAGCCCCAATTGTTGAAGGACTCCCTCATGGTAGCCAGCTAGTGGCACAGCTGAGACTGGAACCCAGGAGGGTTTAACTCAGGAAGTAATTCCCCAGTCTCCTTTTCCCAGTGCCGGGGAGAGCTGCCCTCTCTTCTGGCGTGATCACCTACAGATCTCCAGGACACATGGCCGATGAATCAGCTCTCACAGGTCTTGGCAGCCCTTCCTGAGGGCAGCGACAGGACTAGATTTGGTGGCCCTCATCTCGTGATCATCCCATTTAATCTTCTTCTGGTGGCAATGTCTGTCATTAGGCTCACAGAACGGGGGAAAGGCCCTGCTTCCAACAAGGAGGACCAGATCTGGTTTGATTGTTTTTGTTTTTGTTTTTGTTTTTGTTTTTAGAAAGGGGCTTGCTATGTAATTCAGGCTAGCCTGAACTCACTACGTTGCACAGATTGGCCCCAAATTCAGAACAGCCCTCCTGCCTCAGCCTTCCAAATGCTGGGAATACAGGTATGCAGGACTATGGCTTGGCACAGGTGTGTTACTGTCTTTGCACATTTCTAGACTGGAGAATGACTGACCATCCTGGCGTGCCAATTTCTCCTTACTCCTAATACATCTTACTGTCCTGACAAAATGATCATCTTCTGCCCCTCTATGCTGCTGGCAACCCATCCACTCCTGCTTGTCCCTCTTTGTTTTAGGAGCCAGTAGTCACTCAGGCCATCATGACCCAACACCAACTATTGGAATCCAAATATCATGTATTGTAAGTCAAATATTGTAATCCCTTTTCCATACTCCCCACAATCCAGAACGTTCATTTGTAATTCCACTGAAACATAATTGGAATCCTGGCAAGCTAATTCAAATTTACTACCTTCAATGCAACCCATGGTGAGAGTAAAGACATCAAGACATATTCCAAATTATGGGCAGCGAAGAGGCCCTAAGTGCAAACCAGGTGAAGATATACAGACAAAAGCCTTGATCCAAGGCCTCTTCAGAATTTATTATCTCATAAAGAAGGGAGTGGCTCAAGCATGGGTGACAGTGAGGATGGCAAGAACTGCATGAGTAACTTGAGCTGGCTAGTCAGTGGGGGGAAAGCATCTTTGCAACACTCAGGGAGAATGATATGCAAGAAGGACCAGTCTGCATAACTCTATTAGAGTAGCATTTAAATGGGTTTAGGAGGCTGCTGCTTCAGTTTCTTATACGTAAACCTTTTTTCCCCTGGTAGTCACAGCACCTTTATTTTGAGGCTTGTACCCGTCTGGCATTCCTGGAGCTGAGTGACTCACTCAATCTTTTACATAAAGTACAATGCAAGGAAACAGGAAACTGTCAGGTTGGCCTCCGAGGATTAGGTATCAGTACCTCAGCTGGCCTTATTTGCATTGCTTATAGCCAGCTGAAGGGAGAAGGAAATACAATGGCCAGCTCTGTACATATCGGTGCATGGAAACAAGATTTTACTAATGCTTAAGCAATTGTTCAGCCTTCAAAGGGAGCTGCGCAAATTGTCTCCTACAACCAACATCTGAAATGAGTCGTTCAAATAAGAGTAAATAGCTGGGTGTCATGGCATGTGTTTGTAATTTCAGCACTGCTCAGTTTAACGCATGAAAACTGCAAGTTCAAGGCCACTCTAGACTACACCAAGACCCTGGATCAAAAACAAAAAGCTGGGCACAGAGACACAGACCTCTAACCTCAACACTGGGGGGCCAAAGCAGGAGAACTGTATGTTCAAGCCCAGACTGGGCTACTAGTAACTTAGCAAGCCACTGTCTCAAAATATAAAAAACTTAAAATAAGGATTGTTGTGTAGCTCTGTGTGAAGGATCTGATTTCAATCCCCGGGACCAAAAGAAAAGAGCGAATGATCACTAGATCAGTGTCTTGCTTTCCATGTGCCATTTCAAATAGTATTTACGCTGAATTTTTTCTCTAATTGTGGAAGGATGCTCCCAGTCTAAGGTCCTGATATGAACTCACCTTAAATTTTTTAAACAATTAATAAAGAACTGGGAAATATTGGAAATAGTTGTCTACGCCTATTCCCAGCACTCAGGAGGCTGAGACAGGAGGACTGCCACGAGTTTGAGGCCAGTTTGAATTACACATTGAGATCCTGTCTCAAAAAAAAAAAGAAAGCAACAAAAGCAAATTATTAATCATAACCATATATAGTCTTGTTTTGCCTTTAAAGATTTCATACCTCTTTTAACATTCTCCCTCATAGAGTCTCACAATTCCAGTGAAAAGAATGTGAGGAGAGCAGACCTGTTCCATGGTGGGCGGATCCCATGCGCTTCTTGACTTGTGCTCTTATTCAGTAATTTATGTAAGAAACCTGGGTTTTTCCCTCTTCCTCTGAGATGCTGACCTTCATCTCTGACCACCTCCTCCCAGTCATCTTCACTGCCCTGCGCATCCCAGCCCGAAGGTTTCCCCTCTTACTGGTCAGTTCCTGGTGAGCTCAGCTGCCTTTCTCCCCCCAGCTGACCCGTGCTACTCAGATTCAAGAGTTCACATTTCAGTGAGAGAGAAAATCAGGCAAGTAGGCTAGTTTGTTACACATATAAAGACAAAGACAGCATTTACAGGGTGATGGAGGACAGAGCAGAGGCTGTGGGGAGACTGGAAAGAACTATTGGGACCCAGCACCTGAACTGAATATTGAGGAGTAAGTAAACACAGGGAAAAAAGTGAAGAGGCCCAAAAGTAGGAAAATGTGGGCAGAGACCATAAGCATGAAGAAGCAAGGCGAATTTAAGGCACTGCCCTTTCAGGTTCTTTTCTTTCCACTGCAGCTACAACCCTCTTAATCAAACCCTCCAGTCTTTTCATAGATGGTTCACATAAAGCTTCCCACATGCACTCCGTGCCACAATTTGTTTTCCTTAAAATTCAATCAGCTTCCAGATTAGTCTTCTTCCACTACTCTTGTCCAGTTCTTTTAAGGGTTCCATACTGGGGACCTGGCCTAGATTCCCCATCTCCCAAATGAGTGTACAGCAAAGGCTTGAATAAATGAGATAATGGTATGATTTTAGGGATCCAGGAGGATCAAAACCCTCTACAGAGTTTGGGGAATCAGATGGCTAAGACAGGAAATGTCTCTGGATCACCCATATTTATTTAGGGAGTTACAGTGGAAAACACAGGAAACTGAACAGACTTTGGGAGTGGTTCAAAGACTTTGCAAGTAACAAATTACCTTAACAAGGAGAAGATCTTCATGTTGCATTTCACTACTGGGGTGAAACGCCTGTGGCTACAGTCTTTATTTAGTTAACTGGAGTTGGAGCCAGGTGTCCTGAGCTGTGATCTTATCTTGCCCTGGCCATGCAGCAGCCCTGCATGAGTGTTCAATTTTCACTTTCAACGGCTTGGACAGTTCCAGATATCTACAGGAAAAAATAGTGTCTGTTTGTGTTTTATCTGTGCTGAGGTTACATACAGGACACAAGGTGATGAAAGTCAATGCCGTTTTGTTTTGAGACAGTCTCTCATGTTGCTGAGCAACCTAGGCTGACCTATAACTTGCTATCCTCCTACCCTGGCCTCCTGAATTCCAAATTACAGAAGTGTGCTACCATCCCCAACTCAAAACTTTTTTACATATTTACATACCACCAATGAACAACAGGAATTTAAAATTTACATTTTTATGTACCACCAATGAACAACAGGAATTTAAAATTTAAAAACACTGCCATTTACATTGCCCCCCCAAAAAATGAAATACTCAGTATCGATCTAATAAAATATGTAAAGATTGTGTTACTTGAGCATTAGTTGCTGCAACTAAATGTTACAGTGGGTGAGGGCCAGTGAGAGGCAGGGGCTGGAGCTTTTGGAGATTTGATACTTTAGCAAGGTATCTGCATTCAGCTGCCTGGCTACCATCAAGAGTATAAAACAGCCCATAAAATGTAAAGCTTAGTTTATTCAAACTTTAGCCCAATTGGGAAGACAAATAGTTCACTTTCCCCCAAGTCCAACTCACAGCAGTATTCCAATATATGGAAAAAATAGAACAAACAGGATGTATGCCAGGCTTTGGCCCACTATAAGACTCAAGGAAAAATATTAAAAGTCTGGTTCTGTTGAGAGTTTTGCTCTTAACATATGGAAGCTGGAGAAAGACAAATTTTTAAAAGTTCTGATTTTTAAGTATCTATAGTATACTCTCAGTTACTATACCTGAAAAAACAAGTTCAAGGAGAAAGGATTTGTTTTGGCTCACAGTTTCGGAGGTTTAGTCCCTGGTTGCTGACCCCA